AGAGAGAGAGAGAGAGAGAGAGAGAGAGAGAGAGAGAGAAGCAAAGGTAGTAGAGTAAAAATGAAAGCAATGAACAATTATAAACCAGAGACATTTTATGGAGATGGAAGGGAGAATGGGACCAGAACTGGGGTGGGAAGAGTGCAATAGACTATAGTGATGGTACACAGGTGAAATGGTGGTAGGAAGCCCATGGGGATTATGACTGAGATGAAAAAACTCACAAAATGAAGTATGATGTAAAAAAATAAAAACTTTTGTTTAATCTCATGACACAGAAGAAAAAAAAAACAAAAAAACTGTTCCGCTTTTCCAGGGTTTTTATTAAATTCTTGTCAACTACCAATTCACTGACCTAATTTAATCTCTAGTTCTTTCACCTCACAAAGTTTCCCAATCCATGTGTCTATTCACTGGTTTACTGACTTCTTTTCCAACTTAGATTTCATTAGCAATAATTTCTTGCCCTGACTCTGGGAAAATTCTATTAGTGGACTCTGTCATCTACGACAGGGAAAGCAGTACAGACAAAAATAAGAATTGCATAGATTGCCACCAATAGAAATTTATGATCCAAACTCTATCCTGGTTGATTCCTATGACTTTCATTAGTACAAATACTTGCAAATATGGATCTGTTTTACAAACTCCCTCTGAGATGCAGAATTTCAGATCTCAGTAATTAATGCTTTTAACTTGGATACCTTTGAGACATTTTCAATATCAACCTGTCACAAATGAACACAGTTAGTTTCCTCTCTAAGGAAATGACACTACTGTCCACACAGCCCAGCTGGCCAAACCACACCAGACATCCAACATTCACCATTTCCTCTTGTTTCCACATCACCTTCTGATAAATTAATCCTGGTAATTCAACCTCTTAAATACTTTTAGAGTTTATTTACTTCCCTGCTAAAATGCAGATCTGACCATCCAGTGTTCCAAATACTTGTCTTTGTATTTTATTGCCTTAGAATCAAATCCATACTTTCAAATTGATTTTAGAAATCCTTTTCGATCTGTCTTTTATAATCTTTCCTGTCTATAGCTCCTGATTACTTATGGTCCATACTAGGCTCCACAGTGAATAATGTTAGGCTCAAAGAACACAGTCTCTGCAACGCTGTCATCCTATGTAATCAATCATTTCAGATTAACCATTAATTAATCAACCCACTAATCTCTCTATGCCTAAAACACAGAGGCACATTATACGTATCTTTTTGACTGATCTATTTAATTCTGAATTTCATTGTATATTTTCTTTACTTTTAATTATGAAAGTTGGATATCCCCATCAGGCATCATCACAGTAGTAGAACCACCACCCAATCACCCACAGTCTACCATCTCTAGTCCATTGTGCTTCCTCCTTTCTTTGTTCTGACCCATCTTTGATGTCTCAACTTTCTCTTCCCTCCTATCACTTATTTTTATGTTACTGCAATCCACCTTCCACCATCAAATTACTTTTTAAAGAGACACTGGCCTATTTATTCTAAAAACTGGGCCTTAAAGTTTACGTCTAAATTGATTTCTCTGCTATATGTGACATTATCCATCTATGCATCCATCCATCCACATTCAACTTACTTTGTTATCTGTGTTCTCCTGTGGGAAAACCGTTATCCTTAATTTCTATGACATAGGTTTTACTTTATCTCTTCTCAGATTCCTATCCAGAGTCTCTTTTTCTGTCTCCTTTATTATATTATAGATGTGAATATTTCTATATAGTGTTCTCCTGTACATTACCTTTTATTCTAAAGGATCTCACTTGCTATGAATGTATTCGCATCTCCACCCTCTGGTTTTAACTCTGACCTCTCTCTCCTAAATTATGGTTTCATGTCTGTGACTGCACAGAGGATAGCTTCACATTGACAAGTCTTATGGAATCTCCAAGACAGAACTTAGAAAATAAATTCTTCAGCTAGCTTCATAATTGACTGCCACATATCATTTATTCAATACTTATCTGATATATCTAGCTCAGTGTTTTGTCTATATTCAATATTATATGAATACTTTTCTCATTTGAAAGAAATAAAACAGAGGAAAAGAATGGAGGGAGATCGAAGGATGAAAGGATGTGGGAACACAAGTTAATGACACAAATATTTAGCAAATATAAATTTACTATATAGTAATTTTTGTTATTTAGAAGTTAATTCCACTACAGGGTGATTTCAAATACTTCTCAAAATTTCAATAATCCTTTCTTACATATTTTGTGATAATTCTTAATTTTTTAAATGATAAAAATAATTTGCCATTGTCATTCTCTATATAAATGCATAATTATAAAGTTCTTCATTGAAATAAACTTATTTATTCTACCCATTTTCACTTAAAAATGAGTCTTTGAAAATTATTTTATAAACCAAAGATAAGTTTTATGGAATCCCCAGTCCTCTTTGTTATGGTGCTACGATTTTGGTGCCCAGGGATCCTGCTGCTCAAGCTGAAATGTAGAATCAAGCAGGGGGCCTCTCACCAGGGCAAAAGTCCAGTAGGAGGAACATACTGGGAAGCCAGTATCTGCTGAAAACAGCAAGCAAACATTATGGCCAGATTAGCAAGAGCAGCTAGAATACCTCACATATAAAGATTAGCAGAAGGTACGGTAAGAATAGGATCTAGAGATAGTATGCTTTGACTAGCAAGAACAATGGAGCCTCACCAAAAATAACAGCCCCTGGTCACTTCACTCTAGTCTGTGCCATACAATAACACACCTGGTAACACATGTACATTCCTCCAGGTACCTGCCAAACTTCTGTGAACCTGGCTTTAAATAAATATCAGATGACCCATAGATTGACCCTTAGATCAGATGACCCATATTTAGATAAATATCAGATGACCCACATTACTTCCTGGTAGCTCCTCTATGTTTCTCATTGCTCCACATGGACTTTGAGTAATCTTTTCCTCATCCTATCCTGCTCCCATGAGGCAACAAAATTCAACTCATTACCTCAATAATTAAAATTTTCAACAAAATCAAAATTAAGTAGGCTTAATATGCTGTAACTGAATTTAAAGAAGTATTTAAAATAAAGGTGAATATGCTGGAAATTAGAAAAGTTATTAACAATTAGAAGATAATTGGGCTAGAGCTAAAGTTGTGATTATTCCTAAGACATTTTTAATTAGTGACAGAAAAGTTTCAAGTGAAAATAGCTTTTCTCGTCAGTTAACATAGTAATTTCATTTCCTAATCTCCCACACCTAGTGCACATTCTTTTATTCTCTCTCTCCCCCCCATCCACCCACACACATACATATACACACACTTCACACACATAGCTTGACCTTCTGACTTATTTTCAAAAGAAAAATCTACTGTCAGTTCTTGGAGAAGGCTCATGATTAGAATATCTTCATGCAGGAGAACAACCTATATCACTGTTACAATGACCAAGAGGTTTGGGAAAGTCTAACTGTAGATGCCTTTGGATTAATTATATAGGCTGATACTCAGTTCAATAACATCTGGATATACTGATTACAATTTTTATGATATCCATGGGCATCATCTATATATTAAGATTAATTTTAGCTATTTGGATGACATGTTAAGAATTAACAAAGAATAGGCCCTCCCTGGTGGCGCAGCGGGTTAAAGCACAGCACTGAGAAGCTAAAGCCACTTCGCATGAGTTCGATTCCCACCTGCCCCGGAGGTG